TGCTTCATTAGACTCTGCGACCCCTGAGAAATCCAGTGTCTTTGGTGAACATCCGACCTAGGACCGCGGGCGAAACCTGCTGTCACGTGCATTGGCTGCTGGATATGGGCCCAGTGCTCATTTACATTACTGTTCGTCGTAGATTCTAGCTCATGTGCAAGCTTCTGCTCGTAACTGGTGCGGACTTCTGGATCACACAAACGTTGCACGGCTAACCGGATTTGCGGTTTGCTTCGATGACCATGGAGCGGAAGAGATAATCGCATTAAAACTAATGCATGGTCCCACTTTATGTACGTGGGGCAGTAGGATCTACAGTTCTGAACAGAACTGCACCACAGGTAGCCTACTGTGATATGATCAATCTGACTCAGAAAACCTGTAGAGTTAAAGCATTATTTCGCTGTGACGTAAGGTGTCCGAAATTCGCACTAGACAGGAATAAGCGACCGTCTGCATAAAACTGGAGAAGCCGTCCCTCGTTGTCTGTACGCTAGGTGAGTAAGGCACTATGCCCACCTAAACAAGCTTTATCAACTCGTGCATAAAATTCATCAGTTAGCACTACAATATTTAAGTCATTGCTCCTGCGAACCAGGGTGGTGACTTCAACATAGAAATCATGCTTCCGCGTGTCACAGCTGCAGAACGTTGGAGCACATGCCAAGATTGCAAACAAGCTGTGGCTGCTACAACTATCCTTTCGAACGCCAACTGACCTCTGGAGTCCTAGAGCACGTAAACCAGTATCCACTCTAAAAGGGCAGCCTCAGAGTTGCCAGTCGAGGCTTGAGAAGATGCGAGTTACGAGACTGAGGATTATTTACGATGCTATTTGACAATGGCTCGTTAAGAGTATCGGACATGTCATCAGTAGGAGCATAATGGATGGGTAGAGGGGGCAGAGAAGCAGTTGGGGATAGAAGACGAAAGCTGAATAAGAGAGAGCGAACTCTGAGCCATGGGCAGAGCGTTTCTGATTAGTCGGTGCGACGATTGATGCAACATGGAGACGTTGGACAGGTACTGTTAGGAAGTCCGGCCGCTAAACAGAAGAACAATTGGGGTTCTCAATGAAAGCTTCCGGTTATCATAAGAGCCTATCAGTCAAGCAGCAGGGCTGACTGAGCGGAAGCTCATTTGCATGAACCAATTATTATTCCACCGATTTTACCGACAGAGTTCCGGCCCAAATTGACCCCCAACCTGGAGTACCAGGAGGCTGCATTGTCAGTCCTCGACCCACTGACCTACCATGTGTGACTGAATCTTCGAGTTGAGGTAGGCCAACCTGTACAACCCGTTGGGTCGCTGAGGCGGGCAAACCGTCACGCCACGTCAAGGTGCAGACACGCTGCGAACAGCTCAATTCAGACAAACATTAACCATGCAATGGGTGTGGTGGCTTTGGTTGCAATCTCCCTGGGGCAATCTCAAAAGGAAATAAGGAAGGAGAAAAGAGTGTGAAAGAAATAAGAGGAATACTACATTAATGGAATTGAGTCCATAAAGAAAGTTTGCGGATGCAAGAGCGCCACTGATCGCGGCATCTACCCATATCTCCCAACGTATCCAACCATTGAATGGCAGGGTCTCTTGGACCCCATCGACGTAGTCCAACACGTCTCACATGGCCAACTCCACCAGTTCGGCTTTTCAGACCTCTCTTCAATATTATGCACTGACCACCTTAATCATCTTCCAACCGGTATCCGCATCAGCAAACATAGCACGCCAAAGATTCCTGTCAGGGGACATGCATAACTCATCCCAACCATCTCAGCTTGGTCAGCTTAGATGTTTCATCTATTAACTTGATCCTCGAAACTAAGACTTTCCGCCAAACCTCAGAATTGCTCACACGGTGTTCCCACCAGATTCGAGCAATACTACGAAGACTTCGGGGTTCAAATACCGACAATCTTCGTACGTCCTCCACCCGCAGAGGTCATGTCTTCGAACCATACAAAAGCAAGCGCATCACTTCTGCAGCGTACACTCGATCCTTGATAGGTAAACGGATGTCATGTCGACGCCACAGACGAGTCAGGTTGGCAAATGCCAAACGAGCCTTCTGTATACGCAGACTGAGTCGAAGGCCGCTTCAACATCAAGAAAAACGGAGATAGTGGGCCTATGGAAGGTGTACCTACATCCTAAAATCAGTCCAGGAGTGAAGATGTGATCAGTACAACCTCCACCAGGTCTAAACCCAGCTTGATTCTGGCGCGAACACTGTTCGAGAGTGGCAGATAAGCAGTCGAGACTAATACCAGCAAGTAATTTGGATGCAATGCTAACCAGACCTGTTCCCCTGTGCTTTCCATAGGAGGACCTGTCGTTTTCCTCATAGATCGGTACGATCACCGGTTCACACCAACTACTTGGAACTTGTTCCTACTCCCATATCGAACCGAGGAGTTTCGTCAATTCCAGTTAAAGTGCTGGATCACCGTCTTCAAAAATAGACGGAGGCAACCCATCCGGTCCGGGTCCGGCAGCCTTATGTCGTTCAATATAGCTTATCTCACGAAGAATCTTCGTTTCTGACGGAGGACTGGTATCTACAACAAGAGCTGTATCCATTGCGCTAGTGAGCAAACCTGACGAGGATAAAGGCCAAATAAACTTCACCCCGAAATGCTCCGCCCAGCGAATTAGACGACGCTTCTGAGTTTGAATCAGTGAGCCGTTCGCCTCTTTGATCAATTCAATCGTCCATGATCGGAACATAGTTGAATGAATCAATCACCGTTATCAGTTCCATCAGCTGAAACGTAATATCGGCCTCCCATATTCATCTCTGTCTCGTCTGGACTTCCGACTTGAGCATCGAAATCACCACCAACAACCATGATGTCCATAGAGCGCATGCTGTGGAGCAGTTTGGACAAATCCTGGTAGAGTTCGTCTTTAGCCTCAGGAGAGCTACAGTCAGTTCAGGCATACGCAGTAACGACAAACACGCATAGGCGCTTCAGTCTAGTGCTGTTTTGAGGTATAGCGACACTATGGGAAACTGTCTTGGCAAAAGACGGGAATGTCGGGCTACTGGTGACGGACAAGATGAAGCGCTCGGCCTCGTAGCGAATGAGGCGTTTTCGGCTCACTGTATAGTGAGCAAACACTTGTTCCTCGCTTCCACGAAGCGGTGGTGGGAAGTCTGCTTGGGAGGGCGGCGCCAGCAGCGGAATTGTGAACGTTCCAAGCGAACAACACGATCACACGTGGTCAAAACGCTCTGGAGATTTAGATTTGAAAAAGCGTGGAATAAAAGATGTATACTTTGAAGAACAACATCAGTGAAGCTAAAAACAGAAGCGGATACATAGGAAGTGACGCAACCATCGTTCCAAGGATCGGGAGCCAGAGAGTCACAAACTGTAGCGCAAAATTAACCCTCCCGAAATGGGCGGAGGAAGAGGGCAGGTAAAATGGCTGGAGCAAGAGAACATAATGGTCAGCTGAGCCAAATGGGGAAAGTGTTGATATCCGAGAAAAGAGGAGAGACGGAGGTACGAATAGGATCAAAGGTATGATTATGGTCACCAGATTGATCGAGAATAAGAGTGGGGAGGTCAGCTATTTGACTCAGGCTCTTGACAACGAAGGAAATGCCACCTTCGCCAACCAAGGCTGAAGAGTCAGAAGAGTGAGCTAACTATTCACTGTTGTGAACGCAGAAATTTTCTAGGACGGTAATGTGGCAGTTAGCGTCCGCAACAAACAAGTTCTTAATGTTAAAAGTTAGAAAATTGAAAATAAAGGAGTCGCTACCGCTGAGAAAATGATAAACAGAACAAAAGTAATTATTAAAGGGGTGGGGCGAGTGGGCGGGGTTCCGGTTACGTCAACTAAAATTCGTGACTGAAAAAGTCGGGATGTGATATACTCGGAATATGGAGACAGACTGAGTGAGAAAGGCGCAGACACTGGCTTTGGGTAAAAAGTATGGATGGAAAATTAAATTAGAGAACTGAAGGTGGGTAGTATCTGAAGAGGGGGAGATTTAGGTTGGCGAAATTGATGTTTAGAATCAATGTTGCGGTCCAGTCCACGACTGTTAGTGAACGTTATAAGAGCCTGATTTATTTGCGAATGAATGGAGTGAAAGTGAAAACGAAGGTCAATGCGATGGTGGATTGTGATCGTGAGAATTGGAGTGGTGAACCACACAAGACCTCAATGGATTGGGTGTGACAATGAATCGGGCGAAAGCAAGAGCTGTCTACCATCACGATTTGCATAACTGGTTCCACTGCCACATCTTTCAGTTGCTATAGCACATACCTTTAGGGCGAAATTGAAACAATACATTGGTCAAATACATAAAGTTAATTCTAGGTCGTCAATAAGCACCCCTAAAAGTTACCGCGTCTAAGTAGCAGGAGTAATACAAAAAGCTTTTCTTCAAAAGACGCTTTCTACCTTATTTCTAACTGGACGTTGAAAAAGCTTATCGAAGCACATACCATTGTTTCTAAAACAATAAATGAAGTAAACACCACAGGAAACGAATGCGAAAGACGTTGATGATGAAAAACGAATGTGCTGCAGTAGGATTATAGCTCAGAGAGCCGATTTCCGAAGTATTACGACAACATTTTGACCACCACCTCAAGTTCCACGGTTCAGGTTGACTGTTCTGCGCATGTTACAATTCATCCGATCTTTTTCGGTCTCATGACACCAATGCACTCATATTCTAGAATGGAACCATGGTGATATATCTATCGTATATGTCGAAAACAAAAAAAATTCAACGGTCTCAAAAATAAACCTAGAAGGCGACAGATAAGAGTGGAACGTGACTCGCACATTTTATTTTTCCACGGTAGAATTATTCAAAGGCAGTAGTAAACTTTGTTTACCAACCACGAAGCTGTTGATTGCAAGGCAAATTGGAATATTAAAAACGACGAAAAATTACCCCTTTGAACAAACCACACGCGTGTCAAATTTTTCATAAAGTCAACAAACATCGTTACTAGCTTGCCTACTTGAAGTAAGTGGTCAGTTCTCCCTCGGCGGCATTCGAATCTTCCGCACGGAAATTTCCGAGAGAGAATGCACTAGTGGAACTAGTTGAGCACACAGTCGACAAATCTGTTGATACCGAAGACAAGGACTGTTTCAACTTCGTGAAAGAGAATTCCAATGGGACGGAGGGTCGCAGTTCCAGCTGCATAACAAGAAAAAGTGTGGAAAGTTGGAGGTAATGCGGTGCAAGACCACGTTTTGAAGATGAATATTTAATTATTGCTCCACAGCTTACTGGAGAAGGGTCAGTTATACGATTTTAAAAGTGATTCATATTTTTAGGCTGCATATACAACCACGTATACGGTTAGAAAGTGAACCGGAAAGAACAAACTAAGAGACAAAACCTGCCAGAAAGTTGGGACGGCCATATATAAAAACACCACAATTGATCGCAAGACTATTACCATTCGAAGGAATTTAGACCACACACGAAAATACTGCAACCCTGAGAAGACTGAAATTAAGTACAGGAAAACAACCTTAAACCAACGGGAACACAGCTGTAATCTTATTTGAATCGAATGGAGCGTGCATAGACGGGGAGTCCATTTTTAGAATCACACGGTGATTCTTCCAAAGTTAATTCATCGGTTAACACGGCTAACCTTCAGAACGAGGACACATGGTCCCAAGAATGGATTTTCGATATGAGTAGTATGGCTTTGTATCTGGATGACAGGGCAAAATTTCCCCGGGAATTTTGTCGTCATCTATATACAAAGCCATACTTCTGACAACGAGAACACGTTTGAACAAGGTCAGATGTAATGAATGTGACGAATATTATGCTGGAAAAACTGGAAAGAATGTGACGGTGTATTTAATACTACATAAGTCATAGTAACATTATTACTAATATATATCATAATGTAAGACAACAGCCATTTTACTTATCTTCCCTCGCGTATTAAGAACGATACAATATGAATAAGGATGAATGCTGGATACCGGATTAAGCAATAACACGAAAATTAACCCTGAACGAACGACGCAAATGTGCATGTGGAACGGAATCACATTTCTGTTCTTTTGCAATATGTGTAAAAAACGAAAACAACCAGAATTGAGCAGATATCTGATCGAAGGTCCCAACTTTTCGGGCGAGGACATTTACAATTAGTGCCGACCGTGATGCATGTGAACATTTAACCAGTATATAGTTCGAGCTTCGTGATTTCACAAAGGTATATGAGGCCATCTCGTAATAATCACAATTCATTCAAAGTTTCTTCTTATTTACGTCGATTCTTCCCTGCGCTATCGGTAATTGAATGTGTGTGACCTTGGTTACCAAGGTGAAAAGCTCTGAAAAGAGTAAACTGAAACTGAAAAGCAATGGAAATATAATTTAAATGATCAACAGGACCACATAAATTAGCCTACGTTATATTCAGATAAATTTACCGCTCGTATGCTTCCAAGTGCCTTAGTATGGTCGAGGGTGAGTACTCCAGGCTCCGAGATGGCTACTCGTCCTGAACACCTCTCGAAATGCTCTCAGACGACCGTGTGTTTTCTACAGTCTCTGATGAGGAAGCCCTAATCACTGCCTTCTCGTGGCGGGTGTTCCCAGTGAAGTGAGAAAACGAAGGCGAATGCCCGGCACTCTTCACCACGTGGGCTGACTGATAGTCAGTCTAGGGGAGATCGCTATACCCTAATTCCAAACCAACTACGGGCGGTGTATGAAGCGTACAACACCATGCTCATCGGCATCCACAGCGAAGGGACGTACTGGGCATCCAAAATGTTTAGCCTTATTCGAAGGGCGTATGAACTGAGCAATCAGTCACCGGCTCCCAGAGGGCTATGATACCCTCATATCGTCCTATTTCTTCGTAGGTTAGGTGTTCTGGTCAAAGGCTCGGGATGGGACCCACTAAGTCAACCCTCTACTTCGGTCTGGGCAACCGGGTAGTATCCAATCCACATGTTTTCATGGAATCTCTACATATATGACCTTTCGTTCGTTGCGCTCGACTCTATTCGCTCACTCAAGCTACACAAGTTACGACCGAGGTGATGGCGGTTGGACAAAACTACTTATTAACACACCACCCATCTTCACTCAATCTCTTACGTACAACAATATTAATACTATTTCGTGTATTTCTCAGGTTGCTATTGATCAGGAAGCTGGGTACGCAAATTAGACTCCTCCTTAAGTTGTGTGCAGTCGATCAGAACCACTACTGAGACCACATGTGCCACTGAAGCTTGCAGCCCTCAATGTGTGCACTGTGACGCAAACAGGCCAACAGGCAGCTTTAATGCGCACACTCGAGACCTTGGCTATTGACGTCTGCTGCTTATCCGAGACCCGCATCCAGGACCCTACCATCGCAGTTCGTCTGAATTTGCCCTCAGGACACGCTTTTACTCTGCACTTATCCGGATACGCCGAGGCTTCTGCATCTGGCCATGCAGGAGCAGGAATCGCTTTGAAAACTAAAATTGAGGCTACGCTATGCGACTGGATCCTAGTCAAGAGCAGATTATGTGCGATTCGCTTAGAGTGTTCGTTTAAAGCTAACAAAGGCCCGATGGAAATCGTTGTCTGTTTGTTATCGCTGCCTATGCCCCTACTAACTGCAGTCCGAATACAGCCAAAGATATATTCTACCAGAAGGTTCACGAAATTCTTGAAAAGGCATCTCACAGAGACATAGTAGTACTGGCTGGAGATCTGAACACGCAGATTGGCCACTTGGGTCCGGACGAGCGAATGCTTGGAGGCCATATCGGCGTCAACCATCAACGCACGGATAACGGTAACCGACTGCTTCATCTGTGCGCAGACCGTCGCCCATTCTTATCGACTACGAATTTCCGGCGCAGCTTTCGTCGTACTGTCGCATGGCGACGCCATCTGCTTATCAGTCTTGGACACAAATAGACCACATAGCCGTAAGCTACCGCCGGCGTGGCTCAGTCAAACCTTTTAGGTCTTAGTGGAACACATATCTAGATTCAAATCGCGCCCTAGTGTACTGAGTTCATGGGGCAGTTTTCAACCAAGTCAAAAGTCCGTCGCCAAAGGACAGACGCGGACCAATTTTGCCGGACGTCGGGAGAGATATACGAATGAGCTTGCTGCCCAACCAAGTAGCCACAGACACACGATGACTTGAGGGACCGCTGGTAACACACGGCATGCAGCCATGCACTGGATCTCATCGGGCTCTCTGGAATCTCTAGAGAGCCACCGGAATATCCCTGCCGGAAGCGAAAACCATAATTCCCGCGCCCAACTACGAAAAAATTTGATTAGAAGCTTGCACAGAGACCGAAATGGAACAAGCTACTGCCATCGGCAAATATCTGAGACTTTTCCAACTCATCCGATCTGCAGGGACCAAGAAGCTTGGGATGAGCGAAGTGATCTGCGAGGCAAACCACCAACCAATCCATCAGCTTTCGCGGCGCATGGACCGGTTTTCGTTCCAACCGCGGGTGCATCGACCAAATCTTCACCATCCATCAGATATTTGAGCTCCGCAACACATATCGTAGACGACGGTAATCCTATTCTTAGATATCCGAGCAGCTTTTGATTTCGTTGACAGGATGGCCCTCTGGGATTGTCTCATCAGACAGAGAGTGACTGGTAAGCATGTGAAAATCATCCAAACTGTATATCAGTCTTCAGGCCGAGTACAAGCATATGGCTCATCGTCACCTCACTTTTCAGTTCAAAGTGGCATGCGTTAGGGTTGCCCACCCCCACCCTTCTTGCCCAGTTTTGCGATCAACGACATCCAGGGGGGACACAAAGGAATCACACGAACAAAGACGTTGATATCCTACCTGGTAACAGACTTTCAGACTTAGACTATGCAGATGACATCGCACTGGTTTGCGACGATGCTACTGTGGCACAGTGCATTTTAAACAACCACGCGTCGTGTACATTACGATCCGGAATGTTTTTCACCATCCAAGTGTCAAGCGCTTCTACAACATTGGCAGGGTCCACCTCCACACATGTTCCCGATAATGATCGGTAAGAAGTTGTTGAAAAGCTTGTCTACTTGGGAAGCTGTATAACTGTCGATGGACGGATTGGAGACGATGTGGACAACCGAATAGTGAAAGCCTAAGCGGCGTTCTGCAACTTACGTCAACTGTGAGGACGGTGCGGTATCTCTCTCCGACGGAAGGGTAGGGTGTACAACGCAACTGTGTGTAGTGCGCTCCTATACACTTGCGAGACCTGGCCTTTTTGAGCGGCTGATGTCGACCGGTTGTCCGTGGTCGACCACCGATGCCTGAGAAGTATCTCGCGAGTTTGATGGCAACAGCGAATAAACAATTCCGCAGCTTGAACGCGAATCTAGGGAACCGGGTGTGCCGCGTGCCCAATTAGTGTTACCATTTTACTCCATCGGCTCCGTTGGCTGGGACATGTGCTACGTATGTCACCAGATCGACTTCCCCGTCGTGCTCTATTTTCTCAGCCTAAGGTCGGCTGGAAACGACAACGTGAAGGCCAAGCCATGACATGGCACCGGTCTGTTGACGTCAAGACTTGCTTTTGTCGATTCCTCACGCCTGCATGGTTGGGGACCTCAAGATCCACTACATAGCTGTCTGAAAACTTTGTAGGATGTGGCTCAACGTCGTGCTCAGTGCCATTTATGGTGGAACTCCTGAGAAACTTCCTTTTTGATTCTCCACTTTTATCTTTCTGTATCATGTTTTTGCATGGGGCCACGCCCCTGTTCATTGTACTGGGTTTTCGGCGAAACAATTTACTATCTGTATATCTCGGTAAAGGCCTTTTTTCGGCCAATATGTTCTTCATGGTTGTGCAGATATCATGAAGTTGAGATAAACTCATTATTTGGAGGTTTCACGATAAATGCGGTTCACAATGCTTTTTGACTATGACTCCTAAACTGACTGCAAAAAAAATCCAGTTCAGATCAATATGAACATTGGCTTCAAGGTCACTCGAGCGCACTTTGTTAATCGCTTTTATCATCATCGGGATAGAGATGAAAAGATCCACTGAAACTAAATCTTCTCAGTACCTCCATCAAGGGGGCCAGAGAAGAATTGGCAAGACCCATCTATTTGCCGTATCTTGCTCATTTTATTTTTGCGAACAAGAGTACCAATTATCAGATAAAACGCAGTACATATTTGAAAGAATAACTGGCAAATCGAATGAATAAGACAACGTCATGTGCATCGCGATCAAAAAACCGCCGGATACCCTTGTCCCTAATCCATCGCGGAATGCTCTCAGGCTCTCTAACTCCATGTTCGAACATGAGGTAGTGGCAAATTTCAACACGGCTAGCCTCATGTACGAATGCTGCATTGCAAGGCCATTGAATGAGGGCACGTATTGTTCTCACCAGGATAATCAAACCACGAGGTTTGCCACTTAGGCGATGGATGTGTTTATCGTATTCTGATAATCTACGAGACGTACCTGGTTGATGGGTTGTCTATAGGAAACAGATTGTTCGGACATCGACAAAACAAACCAAATGTTACAAACATGCTTATTTGCAAAGTTGCTGTCCTGTTCACTTGAAGACAGCCACCGCCCGACGGAGGAGCAATCGTGTAGTTTGTCTGTCGTCGTTCATCTCATTGCGGTTAGTCTCTTGAGCAGAGGGGTGTTGGTAATCCACAACTGTCCATAGTTTCGTTTTGAGTAATCAACTACTTACCAAGTAGTATATACACTCGCCATAGTGTGAGTACTCGGTATATGATGTGCTGTAGAAAGCTGATAAAAAGCCATTTGGTGTAAGAATAACCTCGATATTTTATCCGACTGAAAGTCGACGTATCATAATAACCGCCACTATGAACCGGATCGAAATAAAACACGTTTAGATTTGTTGGTGAACTTCAATTGGAGACGCCTTGAATGTTGGGGAAATCTTCACTGTTATGACCGAGAAAGTCCCCATATTCAACGAAAAGAAGTCACCTGGGTAGATATTAGTTTTTGCAGGACAACACTTCATGCTTTGTTTCACGAGAGGTTGTTCGTTAATTATTCACTGTGCGATTCGTAAATGTATGCGAAACTTCAAGGTCCAGTTCATAGTATTACCCTCGAACAGCGCAGATTTGGACGTAATTGTGAGACTGTTTTAAAGAGAGTAGAGGGCCACCTTCACACAAACCCATTGAAGCCAAAAGTGCAACATGTGACGGTGCATAAGACAAAGAAATATTTCATCACCTACATGGTGGACTCTATATCAATCAGACCGTGAAAAAATCCTGAAGAATAAAGACAAACCGAATGTTTAGTACCGTGTATGAATACTGTGTTCTAATTAGTGTTGGGGTTGTTTCAGTGTAAAAAAAATTGTTCCATTTCCCCTCAGAGGTTCATATTCCGTCTTAATTGCGGACCACGCGAAGTGACAAAAATACGGCTCCGTCTGCATTTTGAGTGCAGCTATTCACAACATACAAGCGGACCAAAAGATTTATTGTCCCAAAACCCCAGCACTGCCTGCTACTTACATTACATTTAAAATTATGCAGTTCTGGGTTAATGCGGTCGTGCAAAAGCAAAAAAACATGCTTAACGGGCATTTTCATGCATCTGTTTCGACAATACCATTATGCAGTTCAATTATCAAAGAGTAGAAAACTACATTACCACTGGGGATAAACGGCAAACAGACCCTGAGGCTTGGAGTAGAAAACCACGTATGATCCAAATAGTTCAGGTGCTCTAACGAACCGGACAACAGTGAGTTGCTGTGTACCACCAAATATTCCACGAGTTGGAATATGCACGTTTGAGACACTGCCTCCGACTCTGTGACATATCCGACAAGGTTTCCAGCCAAACCTGCTGTGGAGATCCTCAGCTAGGCAGGCGTGAAGGTCCGATGAAAGTAAGCCCCGACGTTAACACTTTGACCCATCCATGCCACAACATAAGTTGGATTCCACTGCGCTTTGTCCACTCAACCTATGGGTCGTCGATCACAACTCGACGTGGGAGCCGATGGGGAAAAATACGTGGCCCGTGACCAAACAAACGAAGTCGGTGGAATGATAATAGCATATGCAATGAGTACAAGGCATATCTAGTTTCGAAAAATCATCTAGGGACAAAAAGTAGCTTATTTCGTGTTGCCAGCAGACATGCGAGAAACTCCACAAACAATGTTGATCGAAGACTGTAGTGACGCTCGTTTTCTACTCCGCGATTTCTACGTACGGCCTGTAGACTTGACCACTGCTCACCACTTCGATCACCCCAACCCGCAAATTAAAATCGGAAGAAGACAGCACAACGTGCCAAATGACTACGCATTTATACGAACAAATAGTACGGTATTTGAAGCTAAGAGGGAATGTTCTCGGACTCGGATGTCCAGTCGGGTTTCTACCTTGACGGGCCTATTAGGTTGATGAAACATTGACCAGGTTCACTCAATGATGTTTGATGTAAACTACGCGGGACTAAAGACAGTTATTCGATTAGCGGAGCTAAAATCTTATGTAGACTGGTAGAATATTACTTACTGATTAGTCCATTCGGCCTGGCATGCTCGAATCGACTACTTCGGGGAAGGCTTTTTGCGAATTCCTGACAAAGTAAGAAACCCGGTCAAAATGGGCCTCTCGAACAGACTACGCAGTTCAAGTGTAAAGAGGCACACTGCGTTCATTCACCTTCTACGCTGTAGCTTGCAAAACGGAGAAACGACTCACCGCCTCCAAACCTGAGGAAGATTGATAGACGCCGCCTGAGCTTTCGCTATCTGTTTGAGGGCTCTTCACCGGCATTCATGCAAGTTACCAGGTAGATAAGTAACAGCGGTAATTGAACCTTCGTTGGGTACAAAGAATTTGGATACCAGTGCAGGGTTCATTTCTTTGAGTCAAACTTTAGGATACGAGTTCTCTGATAGGTAAATCTACACAACCAAGATCGCGCAAAATGTGACCAGCTACAAATCAAACCAGAATTACCACAGAGGGAAATGGGTGATGATGTAATATCATGAAGTGAAATCAGTGAAGACATTCGCCGACAAAGAAGACTTCAAGACGCAACCGAATTGATAACTATAATGTATTGGCTATCGTATTGAAGCTAACCTAATGGTAATGAGCACCGATTAACAAGCTAACAGATGGCAATTCGACACAAAAGTGGTAGATTTTGTGAGGTAATCTGAAAGCGGATCAAGACATGTAGTAACCCACCGGATTTTCGGCTGAGCCAACTCCATCAGCATCTCTGTTATCGAATTCATCAATATTTTCGGTGTAACCTGATTTCTCGAATGCAAGAGATGGGATGGGCACCAGCCGCGGTTCCTCAGTTGAAGAAGGGATGACCAGGCTGTAATTATTTTGCAACAGGCAATTTTCGGTAGGTACTAGAAAAGGTAATAGATATAGGGTGCAAGCTGAAATGCGTGAAAAACTAAATTAAAAACCGTGTTAATAAATTGCGAAGCTGAAAGGACTTTCGGCTGACTAAACCACTAGTTACGTTGTAAAAATTCACTTCGGAACAAGGTTCAATCTAATTGTCCCAATGTTTCGGAAAAGAACAGCTTTGTTGCTAGATGGACCGATGGAGAAACATTCTGAAGGTTTTGACAAACAAATTTCCTCGAGATAGATCTTTCTAATAAACTAAATATAGAAATAAAAATGCAGTAATGTGCGAGCAATCAAGACAGGAATATAGTGAGACACCGAGGAAAGTCGAATTAGTCAATATACACATCACAGCCTCGTCAACATATGTGATGGAGAAGGCACTGGTGATATTACTTCGACAATCACCATCAGACACGAAAAGCACTTGCGAAAAACTCACCAAAAACAATGAACACTGGGGTTCTTTTTATTTTATAAAGTGATGAGAAGGGGAACAAACGACGAGAATCATGGTAATAGTTGAAGAAAATCGGTTCTTATGGTTTATTCTTAAATCAAACCGCCGCTAACGATAAACTAAATGCAGCGGTTCTGCTTGTTTTCTTCCAATGCAACGGCGGACCATAAAACAACATACTGATTTTCGGTTGACGTAAATGTGGGAAGCTGATTGATGCATTACTACAGCCCACAGGATTTTCTGTCATTTAGTCTGTACAGATTGGATACGAACACCCATCCTAGGGACAGCGCTTCCCCACTTACACTATTTTGCTATCTAAAGAGTGCAACTTACAGGCCTGTACTGCAGACTAACATTGCGATCGAGTATGGCGTGACTCCTTCGTCTCTTATTCGACCGACTACCATTATTTCCAACAACGGTGTGATACCAAATATGAAACACTTGCATATGATATATCACATGGTACCCGTGTTTTCGGTAGACTTCGAGCTAATTTTAGTTTCCATCTATTAAAGCAGGGTTAAACCGTGAAAAATACCTTTTTTGGATGCCTGCACAGATGGCTCGAAAACGAACGGTCGCTTTTTTTGGACTGCTGGAGAAGGCTGTTATGAGGAATGGAGAAATAATGTTTTTCAATAAAGCAAACACTATATAAAAATACGTCCAGACACATCGTGTGCGCAAGAAACTCGAAAGCATGATAAAGAAATCACGACACGAATCCGTGGATGTAAAATTATTGGTATCCTTAAATTAGATTTCAAATACAGACACGGTGTTGTTACAGTAAGATGAACTACATCAGTGCGATTTAAATTGGTCATAAGATGATCCATTATGCAATATCATCGCTCAACTACCCACTGAAACCCATTCGACCCGAGTTCAAGTCCTAGTAAGATCCGACGGTTTCAATAAATATTCGCTCACTCCGTTTACTCATTTTACGACAAAACACAACATCTCTGGGAGGCGGCCGCGGCCAGTGAAAGGCTACTAAGTAGGCAAATGACCGGCGGTAACGGGAATCCAACGCGTGTCGTAAATGTCACAAACCAACGATGATGACCGGCCGACGACCGCTGGTTTTGCACTGCTGATGATCCCGTACGAGAATAAAACAGCAGCACGGAGTTTTCACTGATGAGTTGAGCGTTGATATTTTATGATAAATCCCTTCCAGTTTGAATCAATTATAATGGTATGGAACATCGTCAAGCAGAGAGACATAAGAATCAATTCCCTATCCTCGCTAATTACATAGCATAAGATCAACCGTCAAAAAAGAACTTATACTCCCAAATTCTTCGACCGCTGATCATGAGTGGTCAACTAGTAGCCACTAGAAACTTAACGACAATGTTGATTAAAATATCCTGATTGACGCGCTCCATTCCTTCTTTAAACCAGTCTGGTGAGCATCTTGCGGCTACGCAACCGGCATACTTCATCTCACTAACGATTGTGTAAACAATTTAAATTCCTATTTCTTTATAAATATCCTGGTGTGAACCACGTCTAAGTGATGTAGACTATACGTCTAACGTTTGTGAATAATCTTGTTTGCATTCTTTTGTTTCTCAACTTAATTCAATCAGAAGATAAATACAGAAATTATGAAAGCATTACAAATACACCAATTTGGGCAGAAAGCGGACGAGGAAACTTCTACCACATTTCATCTTCACCAGCTGTTTATCGCAAAACCGAGTGCTCTGGTTCCGTTTACTATCTTGGTAAAAATGAATTGAATCCGAGCATGAAGAGCTGCCAAACGGAGTGAAACATACACAGGTAAATCCATATCAACGAAGAATAGGTCCGAATATACACTGGCCAATCATCGTGGTACTAGGTCACATAATTCAGTGATTATCATTCATTAGAGAAAGATTATGAATACAAGTGCTACTAATCATGACAAATTAATGATTAACCTAACCCACTTTATCAGGCCCAATGAGTAATGCCCTTTTCTTTTGGCAATCATGATCTGAGCGCTTCTATTTCTCGTTCACCGTTCATATTGATGAAAGAGGCATGTCGGGGGCACGGAACCAAAAGGCGTTCCTAATGTTAGAGTGCAACGTCTTGTCCGCTGTCATGTTTCAAATCGGCAGTGCAGTATGCCTAAATTATATTAATGTGCAGTTGTGCTTTGACATTTGCGAGAAAAATTGTTACAGTTTAGACTTTTCTCCAGCAAAATTGCTTTTCAGCATTGATTTTTTTCAGGGGGAGAGGGGAATATCAGTATCAAAACTAGTTAACTTCGTAGTATCATCTTTCGCAACATCAGTCCGTATGAATACTGCTTGGTGCCAATACACATTTCAAGCCTTCGAATGTGTATGTTTGTGGAGGGGACTGTTTCCGCACCTGCTCACAGTACTCGTTATCAACAAAACGCTTGCGGCTCGATTTTTTGTTACGCAATTTTTCACTCAGTTCGGTTTAAGGTCGGACTGAGGCAAGAGAAGATTGGCGTATACTAATGAAACATCTGCCCAGCCTCGGTTAGTGATCATGAAAACACCAAAAATACCACAAACTCGATTTACACCATGTCTTACTATCGGTTTCATTACCGTCATCATCATAAACACGTACCAGATCTATTGGTAGATCCACAATCTCGATAGCCGACACATCCGTTTCGAACGATTTGTTCGTCAGAGACAACAGATCCACTCCGTTAGATCTGAACAATGTTTGAAGGAGTACGGCCTTTGTCAAAGCTAAAACTTGGTTTTGATTTTGCAGCAACAAGGTACGTTTGTCGGGGGTTAGATTCACATCCACAATGTCTGAAAATCATACGTTCAAGAAAAGAAGGCGGTGACTGGTTAGAGAACAAATATGCGCGAGTGAAAAAATGCATTACAGCCAAGATTCAGATGAAAGAATATTTGGTATGGTTTTTTTAAACGGTTAAATTGGCAAGCCGATCGCGGAGGTTCCGACTTTTACCTCACGTAGGCCCTTATCCCTACCACAATGCGTAAGTGTAAACCTCCGACTCCAGGTAGCTATCAGTTATTTCCCTAATCACTAGTCACATCAGAGAACACAAACAAAGAGTACGCCCTCCAAAGCTCTCCCTTTGTGAGGACCAAAACGTTTTTCGAATGATGAAAGTCTCTGACTTTATAGTTTAGGAGTTTCGGAGTTAGAATCCCTTCCCCCAAGCTAACTTTCTCTTTTTTTCTTATTACTATTTACTTTCTCTCTTCCAAAAGTTGTACGATATTTCAGTACGTGGGTCACGGCCAATTAGAGGCTGTCGATTAAGGAAGGTGACCGGCGGCTGCAGAATACGAGTCCAAGACACCCCACGATGACGACCGTTTGACTACCGCCGGTAGGCAGTATTACGCCGACATTCAAGTCGTTACCACAAGCCGGACCTATTGGGGCTATGCTTGATTCTTGAATCTAAATCTCGGGTTCATGGTTTCCGATTCAACCTGTTGGCGCGGTGAACCCTGTGGTTACTGAGTGTACACTGTCTGTTGCATTTACGCTCAAGTGTGGGATTAGAAAAAACAATGACTGATTATAGACTGTATACCTGTAGGAACCTGAAAGCAAAGCACAAACACAGGATAACGGGAGCTTGTGCTTTGTACGGGCATACGTAATCCCGATGAAGAGAGGCTGATTGTCTCACGTGAACATCGGCGCCATAAATCGGTGACCATTCGATTGATTTTTGGCATATCGCATGGACGACCGTTCACAAAGACGAATTGGCGATCAGCACTTGACCGACCATGACCAGCATTATCCGTTTTGGGACTAACTCGAGAACCAGGGGGACGAATGCTAACGTTAGCTTCTACCCCGGGAGGTTTGCTGATATAGCCATGCAGTCTGTAGTGAAAGTTAAATTGGAATAAGTTGTAATGCAAAAGTGAAATAATATGTGAAGTCTGTCAGTATGAACTGTTCCGATAGTTACCGCGATCGTGGAGAAGGAGAATCGAGTAAGATTGTAAGAAATTTACCAACTTTCCTTCAAAGGATGATCATTTCATGAGACAAATTTCCCCTTCTAAAAGATATCAACAATCGAACAACAATGATCGCTTTAGTTAATTCTATACGCGAAAACCTTGAAATGCATAATATGGTGATCGGCCGTCATGTATCAGAAAGATGAGAAGCTTATTAATTCATTTCGGACACTGCCAACAAAAAGGCTAACACATTCGGCAAATTCGTGTCGAGTAAAGTATCAAGAGCAGCAGTATTCGTGGCGGTAGCAAGGTACAGTTTCATTTTCTTCACCTGGACCAGACTGGCACCAAGGAATGGTATTATTTAATCGAACATGATTTGTCTAGGCTCTCAGTCCATCTTCGGGATCCGCAAGAGTTGTGCAGTCTATAATACGGGTAGCCAGTTTGCGCGGTATTCAAAAATCCGATTTAATTTCACACAGAAATAGTAACGTCGAAGTAAAATATACGTAGTATGCGCTCAATGAAAAGGGAAGCCGTTTCATATAGTACAGTAGTATCACTTCCCAGATTACAATAACCTCCCGGCAGTGAGCACTTCTGCGGAGCAATGAAATTATTCCAATAGAAAACCCTCAGCATAAAATAAATCCTTTCCCAGAACCGAAATGGAATTTCATCCCTGAGGAAAAACATTTTCGGGTCAGAATTATTTTAATTTTTCCGAACGAAACTGGTTATAGTAGATTGGTATGAAAAATACCAGTTAAAGTCACTAGACCACTGAATATATCTAGTTTTATCTCGGTCAGAGAAAATATTGATACAGACTTCAGCGGACTGAGACGGGAAATTTTCCGTCTCATGTTGAGAACTGGATATTGTCCGCTTGTCAAATGACCCAGCTAGACGTTTGCCTACACCGATACTGATAAGGTGAACAGCAATCACGTTTTTGCATCAATTTCGATGGACGTTGAGATCACGCACAGCAACACGCCCCAGCATTCCCCATTACACTGAGGCCAAAAAGTGAGCATTCGGTACCACTTCAAAGAATATTCTATCGCAGTTTATCCAGCTCAGTAGACTTCGTTGCTTGGGACGCATTTTGCTTACGGCAAACTGTACCGTTCCTCCTCCGTATTGTGTCCGTAGTTAGTAGTATTTGCACGAGCGTAAACACAAAACCCGCCCGTAGCCGGTGAGCAAGCCGTACGCAAACAAGTGAGTTGGGATAAAGAGCTAAATTACATGTGCTGTCATGCGCAACAGAGTAAGACCAATCAGTACCTAGCAAAATCTACAGGTCAATACTGCTGGCGCTGAAGCACGATTAAAGATCGAGACAAAGAAGGCGTATGTCTATTCATGAGAGGAATATTGGTCGGCTGTCCACGTAGTAAGCGTGACTCTAACCAGGCACAACACTCCGCAGTGGAAGAATTCAGTTCAGATAATCAATTACCACGCACTGGATGCGGTGGCTTTGGTTGCTACCTGCTAGCAGAAAACTCAAAAGGCAATAATAAAAAAGAAACAGCATGAAAGGAGTAACGGAACTACAAATATTGACATCAAGTCGATGTCGAAAGTTAGTGGCTACAAGAGCGCCACTGATCGCCACACCTAGCCATGTATTTTGATGTATCTGATCATAGAGTGGGTGAGTTTTTGGCACCGACTCACGAAGCCTAACACGTCCTACATGGCCAAGTCCACTGGTTAGACCTATCATACCGCTCTTCCATGTCATGGACTGACCACCCTTTCTCACCTTCCCACCGTTACACGCATCAGCAATGAATGAATATTGTCAGGAGATATGCGCAACACGTCCCAACCAGCAAAGCCAAGCGGATTTGAATGCTCTATATATATATATATATATATATATATATATATATATATATATATATATATATATATATATATATATATATATATATATATATATATATATATATATATATATTCATTTCACTTTTTGCGGCTAGCTCCTGTGAGAGGATGAGCCGGCTTCATGCATGTCCCGAATAGCACCTGCCCGAGCGACGACCGAATGCGAGACCTGAGCACAGGGAAATCCAGTTTTGCCTCAAGTTGCGAAGGCCGTAGACAGCTGAAGTTCTAACCCCTCAATATCCGATTTGACAGTACTGACTCGTGTTTTCAGCTATCCTCCAGAGCGACAGCGCCACCTTGAGCATGGAACAAGAGAAAGGCACTGTTTTCAGATCTCCGTGTCCGGACGTAGTACGACATATCCAAACCACTACAATCGTCGGTGTTGGAGGAACACTGACAGTTTTTCGATGTTAATGGACCGTTGTCTTATTCTCTCGTCTGAAAGCTTGTCGTGCCAAGCCATTTTCAGTATCCGTCGCAGGTACCAATGGTCAAACACTTCTAGCTTTCTGATGCCCTCGACCCGCTGTGGCCACGTCTCGCAACCGTAGGTCAGTATTGGACAGATGGCGGCCCGGACGACGCGGACTTTGGTTAGAAGGCTGATTTCGCTGAGCGCCTAGATTACACTGCGAGCTGGAGAAACGCAGGCCCGGCACTGTCAACACGCAACTCGACTTCATCTTTGGCTTGACCTTTCGGAAGAATGGTGGAGCCCATATGTTTGAACGCCGGGATGTGGCCAATTTGTTCGCCGTTCATGTATGTCGGGAGAATGGACTGCGTGATGCATGTTGAAAGGATCTTGGTCTTTGATATATTGATCTCTAATCCCATCAATTTTGCAAAGGATTCTAGACGGGGCAGAACCGGCTATAAAGCAGTTGGATGACAATGTCGCCTGCGAATTCCAAATCGGAGAGAAAAGCATCGGTGCCCAGCTGAAAACCAGGGTGATCGGTGAGCGCCTGACACATCATCCAATCGATGGTGTAGTTGAATAGCACTGGCGACAAGGGACAGTCTTGTCTAATACCGGATCTGATGGAGAAATCACTGAACTCCCCTCCCCTCCGTAGATGCGTATCTGCGTAGCATGACCTCATGAGACTAACAGGCTTCTGGGGCACTCCAACCGCTCGTAGTATAGTCCATTACAATTCTCTGTCAACTGAGTCAAATACAGCCCGAAAATGAATAAAACAAGCTGTAGTCGGTTGCTGAAACTCGTATCGATGTTCTAATACTCGGCGGAGAGTGAATAAGTGGTCCATGCACCCTCCACCACACCGGAAGCCTCCTTGATTGGGGTGTGTGAGCGTCCCGCACGGCTGAGAAGTGATTCAGCAAAAACACGCGGAATACTCTGGCGCCACGCCGATTTAAGTGATGCCACGATAGTTTGCGCACATAGTCCTGTCGCCTTTCTTAGGAAGAGGAAGTAATATTGAAGTTCCCTAGTCTGCTCGGAATTTTTCTTTTTTCCAGCTTGAGCAAAACAGGGTATGCAGTGGTTCGGTCAATGCCGAAAGGCATGATTTATGTATCTCCGATGGAATGTCATCTCCACGGGCTTTTAGGTTTTCCAGCTTGCGTAGTACATCGGTGATATCATCTCGGCTTGGTGGGTTGTTATTGACGTCATATATCTCGCTCTGGATTGTCAGGATTGGATTCACAGAGCTTGCCCATGGACGGCTCAGTAGACAGCTGAAGTGTCCGGTCCACCGCTGCATCTTTCTGGCCTGCTCAGGAATGAGCAACACGGCAGCATCACGAAGGCGGGGTTCTGCCGAATGTCACTCACCGGACGCAGTACGGATTAGCCGGAAGAGCTTTGAGAAGTCACCGCAGTCTCCATGGTCTCCGTGATTTCCGTCCAGTAGCTGTTGCGGTCACTCCTGGCAGAACGGGTGGCTTTTTTCGTCGGATATCACGAAAGTCTAGGTGACCACTTGGACGGGCATCTCTAGCCTTTTCAGTTAACCGGAGAGTCGCTCATGAGATCCAGTCTTTCTGTCATCGTCACGTAAAGCCCAATCTATCTAAAGCGGACTGTTGGCTTGATGTCTTCAGTGAAGCCTGTTGATGTTCCGCTGGCACTTCTCTATCTAAGGACGTGAAAGCTAGATGGGAGGCAATAGCGTCTGAGACCGCTTGGAGCTTTCAAGTCAAGTCAAGTTGAGTCAAAAGTGGCTTTATGCCACCGACTGGGTAGATTCTCCGCATTTACACTACATACGTGGATAGGAAAATACGGAATCGGGAAATCCGTACAAATTATGGTGATTTTCATCCAAATAAACAGTTTCGTGTCATTGGTGACTTTCACTGGATCAACAAGCAGGCGAGCATGATACGGCAAAACAGAACTGCGATACGCAGAAGTGTGAGCAAATAGGAATTTGAACTTTGAGTGCGTACACGTAGTAGATACAGCTTTTCAAAGTTCCTTGTGTAGATGGTGCTGTATGTCTGAAAGTATTTTGGAAGTAAACTGGTCACAAGCATAGAAATTTTTATCACTGATAGCACAAACATGTGTACCTCCGGATATGTCACTTCACTTGGGGATTTGTTTTATAGATCTCATAACCAAGTCAAGATCTCCCTTCAATAGGCCGGGGAGAACAAATGGAGAGCAGTACAACCAGTTTGGGGGAATATGTGCAGTCGCAAATTTAAAAATTAACTGGTTCGGGACACAAAGTAGTCTTAGATGAAGAGAGAAAAATGACAACTTACTAGCTACACAAACAGTCTGTTGAACATGCATGGACCATGGAAGATTATGGGATAGGGTAAGGCCAAGATATTTACCGTTGGAGACATTGGTAATTGTTCATTATTCGCAGATGGAAGAGGAAACCCGTTAGTGAAGGCTCTGTGTGGTTCATCAGAAAGTGAGGAAAATAATACATCCCAGCATTTGGAAGCATTCAGTACGAGGGAGCGGGATGAGGACTAGTTAACAGCTTCGTTCAATTTGATCTGAATTTGTGAAGTTCCTTCGGGTGTCGGTGATTCACATCCTAAAACTACACCGTCGGCGTATCTGTTGCCAATGAATGTCGATGGGATCGGAAGTTGTTTACCGTACAAAGAAAATAAAAAGGGGGAAAAATTGCACCTTGTAATACACGAGTCAACTGGAGGAGAGGATAACTTTTGGCCGCTGAAACAAGTGAAGTGTCTTCGACCACTCAAGTAGTCTGAAATCAGCCTCCAGACGTTTGAGTCAATGCCAATTTCTGAGAGTATACTGAGCATTACTGATCGATCAAGGCAACCAAATGCGTTTTTGTAATCTAAAAATTCCATTCTGGCAGTCTCACACTTCTCGTCCAATTCCGAAGCTACTGAGTGGACTATGTAAGCTACGGCACCAAGTGTGGAGCGCAAAGACCGATAAGAAAACTGGCGTGTCTTCTCCAGCCGATCCCAAGTTAATCCATGGTAATAAAAGTCTTTCACTCATTTTCAGCATCACAGAGGTGCAGGCGATGGGGCGGTATTTCCCGGGTTCTTTCTTGGGGACAGGCGGTATCTTGGTCAGTCTCCAAATGTCAGGGACTTTTCCGCTTGCTAGACAGTTACTGAAGATATTGGCCAGTGGAACCGAAAGGGCATCAGCACACCCCTTCATTGCAGCAGGTGATAACTCGTCTGGGTCAGGAGCTTCGTTTATCTTCACTTTGCACAGTTGGTGGCTGAGATGAGTTGCTGAAAAATGGCTTGGAAGTAGACTGCGATATTGAGCTGGAGTCGGAGTTAAGTTTTGACCAAGTTGGTTAGTTTTTTTTACTTGCGTTCTCTGTCCATGTTTGGAAGCCTGCTCTTTCTTTCTTCCCAGCTATTTAAATACCGGTAAAGAATATCTAACAGTTTGGATGTAGACAGTTTCAAATGGACAATAATGATTAAAGCAAAAAAGGTAACCAGTGACGTGTTTAAAGAAGATAGAATAGTTAGAGTTTGAAAACATGGAAAAATCGGTTGGCCAGGCTGTCGAGTGAACAATTCCTCTGTTGCATTCTTCTGGACGGTTAGTCTTACCATACACTGTTAGACATATTTTCAAGATAAAGTGATTAAAGCTGCTCAAGGGTGCACGTTTTGGAAGTTTGAGCAATTACGGTCTGTTTGTAAAAGCCAAGTCTAGTTGAGCGGTAAGTCTGATGGGAAACACAACAAATTCATCAAACCAGGCCTGGTGAGAAGAGTAACGTCATGCCTGATGAAATCATCGACAAATGCGCAAAGAGAATCACTCAAGTGTGCAATTACTGAGGTAGACAGAAGATCAGAAAATATGTTTAACTCAGAAAGTGATGTACTAGGTGCCGAGTAAATGGTTCAGATGAGTATCGAGCGAAATCCATTCAGAAAGTGCGACTCACAGTCTGTGATATGACAGCTAGTCTTTTCGATTCAGTACGTAAAGACCAGATTTGTTGATTTTCTACGGTCGTTGTCAACGTAAGCGATGACACCTCCTCCACGATTGTGAGCACCAGTGGGACGATCGGTTCAGTACGAACTTAAATCATCCAGTTGTATGATTCCATCGGGTATATCCTTGAGCAACCAGGATTCTTGTAACATAATAACTTCTGAACTTTTATGCTCCTATTTCTCAGTGATTCATAATCATGCCAATACATCACAATATATTACGATAGGTTAGAGGATGGAACCAATTAGACAAGTAGGAAGTGACAAAGGAAGGAGGGGGGGGGGGAGAAAACAATTGTAATCCGGGCTTAAATCAAGACCGGCTGTGTATTGTTTTTCTCGTGTTTTGTCCGTTTACATCTGGTCTATGGCCTGTTGTAGGGTGGACGGAGGGCCAGGGCAGCTTCATAGCACACAAATTTTTTGAGCAGATAGAGGGGGATTGTGGAGGCGGATGCTGACACCCTCAGTTGCAGCTAGTATACGACATTTAGCCGGTCTTGATTTCCGATCCCGAACCTTATGCAGCGCACGGAAGACCTCAGCCACGTCTACTGTGTGATTAGTCTGAGCAAGGTCTGAAACGACAGCGGTATTGAGTGACTTAACTGCTCCAGTGTTTAACTATGCAGGGTGTTCGCAGATGCGCTCAGACAAACGCCTGGTCGTGCGGCCGATATACGTTGATCCACAGGAACAAGTGAATGAATAGACACAAAATGAGGCTGCACAATCACACTTTGTCTTTCAACCGCAGAAGCACTACCGGCCGGGATTCGAACAAAACCTGGAGCTTAGCTGCGTAGAACGTTTTGCTGATTACCCCTGACAATCTTTTATGCACAATCCCTGCCAACGTATCATCCTTGAATGGCAAAGAGATGTATCTCGGATTTCTTTCCACCCCAAACTTCCTTGGAGTTTCCACTGTAATTCGCGTCATCCTCTCAACTGGCCGATCCGGGCAGTCCCCTTTACTTTGTCAACATTAATTTTCTGAAACACTTCCTACTTGTCTAATTGGTTCTATCCTCTAATTTGTTGTATTATATTGTGATGTATTGGCATGATTATGAATCACTAAAAACGAGCTTGTTCGCCAAACTGTGTTCTCCAAGTGTGTTTATTGGGAATTTTCCGACACTCCTATTTCTGTGTGATTGCTGATATCTCTTCAATTTTTCCCAATAAAGAACGGATATTGTTCGCTAAGATCACGGGAATCTGGGTTTTCTAAGCACTGCGCCATTGGAGACCAACTTACCAATATGCATGGTGTTTACCTACTCTTCCATCTGGGTTTTTCGATAATCCGTTTGAGCCTATTCCGAACCTTACTATCATAATTCACAAAACAGTACGTACGCACGAAAACACGTGGCGATTTCATTACCGTGCACGTAAACGACAGCATTGGTGACCTTTAAGTTATTACGATAACGAGTACTGATATAAAAATTCACAGAAAATGGTGTAATTTGTTTTTCCAACGACAGCACGGTCAATTTCAAAGGCCTCGCTACGGGGCTGTGTTGATCCGCCTAGGGGCACGGTTTTTGTAACGATTAACTAGGTGTGTTCCAAGGTGTGCACAGACGAGAATGTGGTCGATGCCACTCTTGTTACCAGTCTCCGCGCCTTGGCAGGACAGACAACCTTCAATCGAAGATGACCAGCGTGATCGTACAACAATGTAATCAATCTGGTGTGCTGCGTGTCCGTCATTGGAGTACCACGTTAGAAAATGTTTCCTGGGATGCTGGAAGCGGGTGTTGGTGACGGTTAGGCCGTTGGGATCTGCAAAGTTGACGAGACGTTCACCAATGTTGCACTGCTGTCCGAGACCATAGTTTCCTAAAAATGTGTCTGGTTGCTTGGGTGGAGGCATCAGTGCTGGCGTTCCAGACCCCCGCAAACAGGAGAACGTCACGTTTCGGGACACTATTCATCACTTCTTGTAGTCTGCCGTGGATTTTGTCTTTTACCGCTTCTTTAGTTGCAACTGTCGGGGCATGAACCGCAACAACCGAGAAGAAGCACCTCTGTAGATTTACTCCCTGTCCACCTAGTATATTGGTTCTTTTTATTGCTACGTGCGACATGGTGAAAGGCAGTGGTCAGTTTGGCTCACCCTGCCGTTTAACGCTGTACGATGATGAGTAGGAGGATACTTAACCAAACAACGATGGTAACACGGTTCAATTTCATGACAAAAGATTGTTGTTCTCTGACCCACTGTGTATCTTGGAGGGAAAATCTTCCAGTGGTTTGTAACATCTACTCTGCACATGAACATAATGCAGCTTGATTTAAGGGACAACGTACCTTCTGCAAAAGCAATTAAATTCACATTTTGGTATTAAAAAACAAGGTTAAGCGATGTCATCCAACTCTTGTGTGAGTTAGATACGATCCAGATGTTACTTTTATTGCACAAAGTGATTCTGATAATAAAAGGTGAGGACGCCGGATATTATATCATCTATTTTGTTGAGTTTACAAAAACAAAATGCGTATTTTAGGCAGATACCACGCTAAAAGTAATATTACTTATGAGGCTATTTTCTTCTGACCATTTCCCTCTCTGGATATAATACCTCCCAGCAAGAAACAGCTTGAGCCACCCCGACTAGCTCCTTACTAGGGGACTAGTGTGGTTCCACCGAAGCCAAAATTCCGCCCTAGAACAGTAAAATTCGGAATGGAGAGTGCCAATCGAAGGATCACTCACTCAATGTTCTCATCCAAAATCGGATCTTTGATACCGAATTCTGCAAGCACATCGCTCCGCACTGTTGTCACCTGGAGCAGCGGGATCAAACAGTTCAACTGAAAATAAAATAAAAACAAATGACGATTCCTAATCGCTTAGATACGCAAAGATTTTGTTGTTCACTGCAATTGGTATTGTTCGTATAAGTCTGTCTCAATACAATGAATAGAGCTTCGTAAAATATGAATACCAGTGAGTACCTACGAAGGTTTTATATGACAACGGACCAAAAAAACGAAGAATGAGTACAGATCCAGCTATCGCCACTTTTTTACTACGGGAGTCCCAGAAACAACAGGGAGTAAGCATTTTAAGGGTTCAATTTTGTGCACCAAGGAACTGCATCAGAAATGAATGCCGCTGCGGTAGGTTTCTCTTGTGACGATAGAATATGCATAGTGATCCAGTTGATAAATGAACTGAGAAAGTGGAAAATTTTAGATTTAAATTCCATTGAAAAGAGCGGTTATGAGCGATGGCATGACAATCGCTGGCGCAATCAATAATAGCAAAGAACCACAAACATCAACAGTCATCCTCCCAAAAATAGGGAACATCACTTACTTATCACTTAATGACGGAAATAATTTTAGAGTGTCAATTGTGCGACTTTTATCAAATCTCATTGATTACGTGCTTGCGTATGAGTGCAGTCAAAGGGGTATATCCAATACCCTCGAAGGTCCATTGTACGATCAGGGATAACGGACAACGTGACCTAGAGACTTGGAGTAGAAGACCACATAGGTTTTAAATATGTCAGGCAAGGCAACCAACCGGGTGACAGCGGTTTACGGTACACCACCAATGTAATCGTCGGTGACGGGATTCCAGTCGAGATGGAAGGTAAACGATATAAGCCACCCTACCACTACCGACCAATGATCTTTTGAAACCCAGATCTATCTGGTAGTCTGATAGTTTATTCCCGAATAAAAAGAACTCAATTGGAGTGAGTACACGACATTGTCCTTGTAAGCGAGGAATCAGATTAGTCGTCTGTTTTGTTGGAAAATCTGGATAGCTTTAAATGTCTTTGATGTGAATTCTGCACATTTACAGTGAAAATTAAGCGTCCGAATCTATAACTATTACCTATTACTATCTGAGAAGCTACGCTCCATCAAATGGTTAGATATCTGGCCAAGCGATAGGTTTTATAAATTTCATCTCATCGGTAACGTCAAAATCCATTTACCTGCCCGGGTTCAAAAATGTATAACAGCTATACGGCTATATGGAAACTGGTCCACGTGGATGAAAGTGTGAAATTTACCTGAGTATGATAACCAAAATTTTTGTATCACTGTATAAATCTGGTGGAAAAACCGGGTCAATAATGTTGAGGATCGGTTCCTGTTGTCGAGCAGATGGAGTCGTTGCTACGTTAGACAACCTGAGCAGGCTATTCTGAGTGAAGCACACCATGAGTTCGCATCCCTTGATGAGCGTTTTTATCATGTGCGAACCGGAGACGAGCAATGGATAGATGGTAGGAAAGCATTTTCCATCTATAACATTAAAAAGGCATGGAAGTATCAACCCGTGTAAGACTTTTTCGGTGGGGACAGCTGAGGACATTTCCAAGTACCTGGATCATCAATGGGACTGCATTCATAATCTTTCATCATTTAAAGAATGCTTTTGCGCTTTTTGACACAGCTCTATCTTGCATGAGCCATGGAGAAGAAAACAACTAAACACCAAGCAAATTAATTTACGGTAAACTACCGCAAGCTAAAACTGAAGTGTACAGAAAAGCAGTCTATTGAATTCAACTATATGTAGAGTATGGACACTGTATTCCGCACTAAAAAACCATCACGTTCCGAACCACCTACCTGACTTTGTCCAAACACGGCAGCAATATTGTCCTGTAAAGACGTAGACGCACCATTGGAAACGACCAATACTTTTTCTCTGGAATGAAACGACGTTTAGACGACTAGGCAGATTTGGATCTTATCAATACTGGAGAGTAGTTACATTTTTGCGCCTCAATTTATTTTTTAAACCGAAATTGAACATAAAAAGTATATTTTTTAGCCGTCCCGTTCCTTTTATTGGAGAGCACTTGACGAAACTAGCTTTGATTTAACGGTACGATGAATTTGATTTGTTGAGCAGCCACGAACGTGATTTGTATTCGTATTGCACAACCATTCTTCTTTTATAATTAGCTTGCGGTTGAGTGCAGTGGAAAGAGTATATCCCATAGTTTCGCAGGTTCACCACACATTTACGGACAATCGAAAACCTAACCCAGAGACTTGCTACAGTAACAGCTGGTAAGGCAAAAATCACCGGTTGGACTTAAAAATTTTTAGCTTATGACTTAGACTTCGGAACGTTGTAGAAATATGTGTGGAGTTCCGATAAACGTTGAACGAAAAAATAACTACAGAGAGCATCTATATGCAAAATTGCCAGTGATGCTCGAGTGGTATAAGAACTTTTCACCAAGGAGGTAAGAGGGGACAAACCCGGACACCAGCAGTTACTTTGGTGGTAACTAGAAATCTACTTTTGTAGGGCTCGTTACCAAGCCTGATGGATCTTTTGTGGGTCTCTACTCAAAGTCTCAGGATCGGACTGTCTGTTATTCCCGGCAGTGCAGTGGATCTTGGACACTATCGAATGTGCTCCTTCCAGTGAACCCATGCGCAAGCAAGGAGTAAAAATTCGAACAGCATAAACATTTCTTTTTACTCTATCTCCACCTTATTGTCTTGACCGTCAGACCACCAAGATGGCTTTTACTTCGCATCTTACATCACTACAAAACTTGTAACACAGAGGGCAAGTGTGTTCTTGACCAACAAAGGTATGGAACATACGAGTGACTACATCGCAATCCAGAAAGAGCATATTTACTTGGTATAATGCCGCAACACCTTTAAAGCCAGAAGCATTAAGAGGAATGATGGTTGGTAGATAGTGTAATAATAAAACACCGAAACTAAATGAAAGGATCAAGGATTCGCTGAATGACGTACCCGGATTTGCCAACACGTGTGCACGTAATCTGCTTATTGACTGCGACCAAACAATATGCCGTCAGGACATTGACCGCTTTGGAGAACTCCTTGATCATCTGGGCCGGTTCGGCAAGATATTTACGTCGAACGGGAAGATTGTGAAACAAACGATTGACAATGACCGTGGTACCTCTCGAACGAGCCAATGGGCGTTTAGCCGCAATGCATCCGTTTGCATCGAACTGCAGACGCGTGCCATAGGTCGCATCAGCTGAACATGTGTGAATGATGAGCTCCCTGGAACGAAGTGTGAGGGTTGTACCATGAACAATGGCCGCAGCATCGCAACCGTAAAACAGGACTTCGGTCCTTCACAAAATGTTGGGACGGTCTCCTGTTTTTACATATATCTACTCCATGCCTTATCAGGATGACTGTGTGCTTATTGAATAAGCAGACGATGTGATTCTTGCCATGCCCTACCCTTAATCAGTCCACACAACCTGTTCTACAGGGAAGCATAACTGAGCTCGATAACTGGTCCACCACACAGGACCCACGAATGAATCTCTCTAAGTTTTTTGATATTTTTTTCTGTCTTCACAATGAGATTAGGCATTCTAATCTTTATGAATCCATTCCCCACCATTCATAAACACCGAGCGCATTGGGAGCAGTGCATTATTGAAGTACCTCGACATTAACTTCACCCGGGACTTTTCTCGGTCTAAGCATGTCGCCGCGGTCTTCTTATGTGTTAGGACTTACATCCCTTGGTACTCCACTTTATAATGTCCGAAAATCTCTTTACTCCTGTGTTTTACCTTACTAGGTCTAGGTAAGACTTTTAATTAAATGTCTACTCCTTGAAGCATTTATCTAGAGGTGGTGGTGTACCTCGATATCAGCTAGCCCATTTTATAATATGCTAACACCTTAATTTATGTGCAAAAATCTCCCGTAGGATAATGGCTGATTGATCGCACCACCTTTACCCTGATTTCAGTAAATGTAATTATAAATCATCCATTTGATTCCCCTATAAACACTTGTATGCCTGTACCATGGCCCACAAGTTCTCTACAGTACCATATCTTGCCCGCTTTTTTCGCTTACCTTGATGTTATTACTGCAGAACTGAACTCAGTGCTAAGCTATATTACTTTATAACTGGAAGTGTCGAAGCAGTATTCGGGTGTATGAAGCATATGCGTGAATCGACTGTACAGAATGAACCCATGTTATCATCGTTATCATCATACAACAGCGTTAGAAAGCAGGGCAAGCCCCACTGACAACTGCCTTTCTCACCATCTTGCACGTTAAAATAGAAATTATGAACACACAAGATGGACAGGGGGTGGACCCACAGGAGTGAGAAAATGAGAGAACACCCCAGTAGTCAACACACGGAATACACAGTCTAACCGTACAGAAAGTGACAACAAGATCGTCACTGTTCACGGTTCGCTGCCATATCCTTCAGTGTCTCCAGTCAACTTGTTAAGGGATCTTTCGAACCCTAATCACGAGGACGTGAAGCACCATCTTTTCCTAAGTTCGATGTACATTTTACCATTCCCCGCTGCCACATCATCTGTTGACTTCTAAGTGACTTCTTTCACTCCCGAAGAAGAACAGAAAACAGAGCACGGTACGATAGACGTGTGTTTGCCATACGCAACACGTGCTCTAACCAACGAAGTCTATAAAGCTGGATAAGTTGTGATATGATATTCTCTGAATTGGTACCCAATACCCGATTTCTGACCTCAACATTGTTCATTATTCCATCCAATCACCTCACACTTTGAAGATGCAAAGCACATGCCAAATGAAGCTACATCTCTCGTGAGTCTGCCCAGTGCACGTTACGCATGTTTCGTACATTTGAACAAGCAGATAAGGCCGTCGGCGTAATCTAGGTCACATAGCCTTTACCCACTAGCCAGTTCGACGACCACATCTTGAATATTTCACGGGACATTCTCCATTTTCTCGTCCATGACGAAGTTGAACAGGAATGGAGAAATGGGACATCCTTGTCGAACACTGCTGGTCGTTCCGCATGGATTTGATAGTTCACCGCAGCCAGAAGAGAGTACAATGATCTCAGTAGTTCACGGACTTCTGTGGCATACCTCTCTGATGAGGAGCTCTGAATAGCACTGTTCGGTCAATTGAACCGAAGGGACCTTTCATTCGGCGAAAACCATTTTATCGGACGACGGTGCGTTTCACGCGGTTGAAGTAATTGACGAAAAGTAAAACTCTCGTCGCTGCATTCTCGACATGGGTGGATTCCGGTCTGTCGTTCGCGGGCGTTCTTCTCGCACAGTAAAATGGAGGCTAATATTCTGGTGATTATCGAAACAAAACTAATGTCACGATGATTATTACAACCACTATGCATTCCCTTCTTGAAGATGGGCACAATCAATGGTCCGCCCACAGGAGTTATAGACCCCACCCGGTATAACCCTTGTTTGAAAGAGACTATGCTCAATGGGTGGAATTGTGACTGGTTCCTGTATAAACTGTCAACTCAACCAATGTTATGCAGTGATATTATTTTCGCAGATGAACCCATCTCCTACGTGCACAACATCAAAGGCTATCAACGGGGCAGAAACTGACACGAGGAGAATCCCTATGACTACTATGAAAGTAATAGACAAGGAGATGTAAAAGTGAATGTTTGGTATGTCATCCACGGTTCACGACTGGTAGGCTCAGGGATTCTCCCCGACAAGATGAATGAAACCGTCTATCTATAGGTGATGAAGGAAACACTTTTTGAATACCAAGAAGGTATACCTTTAGCAATCTTACCAAGAACACTCTTCTAGCACATTCCGCAAACGCAGTGCCCAGCGGCCTGGTGTGGAATTCCCTTTAAAATTCATATAAATACATTTATATATATATATATATATATATATATATATATATATATATATATATATATCACTGGCTTGAAAACAAGCATGGTGCCAAAGCAACAACCAAAAAATTACAACGTCGTGGGGGGGGGCAGGGGTATAGGACTAGTTAAAATAAAGATTACAACAAGTAAAGCCGAATTTAATTTTTAATACTTTCACTACACACGTTTTGTGTATCTTCCTGTCTGTTTTTCAATTGTTTATGGGGAACGGGGAGTCAACAGACAGGCCATACAGCATTCGCGTCACTGGATTCGGTTCCGAACCATATCTGTCAACGTCTCTAACTAACCGCAATCCTCATCTCGTGGACCCCAATCAAGTAGGTGGGAAGCACCGACCGAAGCTAACTTCTTCATACCCCAGCATCAAGTCATGGTCTGACCGCCACGTCATCTCTTTCCAGCCTTGCCAAGTACGCGCAAAAAGATCATGAAAGCGTGAACGATGAGCAGGCACACACAAAATACGCCCGAGCCATCGAAGGCAGTGTAGAGCGACTACCTCGATCGCAGCACCGGGCACAGGACGACAAACCTCGTTATTGCCCACTCGATGTTCCCACCAGACACGAGCAATGATCCGGAGACACCGGTGGTCGATTACAGAAAGCCGCCGAATATCCTCAACTCGAAGGGGCCGAGTCTCGCAACCGTAAAGAAGAACGCGACGAACTGTGGCACTGCATACCCTTCCCTTGAGAGAAAGCCGGATGTCGTGGCAGCAACACAGATGGCGAAGGTCCACGAAAGCTGCTTTGGCTCACTCAGTTCGTGATGTGATCTCCTCCCCAACACCACCGCCACCAGCTGTGATCAAGCTCCCGAGGTAATTAAAGCTATTGACTACCTCTGACTGATCACCACTGAGGTTGAGTGCAGGCATAGGCTTCTTCCAGTCTTGAAGAAGTACCTTGCATTTTGAAGGCGCAAAGCATATACCATATCGGAACACTTCAATCGCCACGCGGTCCAATGTGCATTGAATCGTCTGTGTACTGTCGCTCAGCAAGGTGATACCATAGGCGTACTTGAAGTCAAAAAACTCTGTTCCTTGGGAGCAGTTCAGGCCCACCGATGGAAGACCAGACAAAGCTTTCTATTGGACATCCTCTTTAGCGAAGTTGAAAAGAAACAAGGATATTGGGCAGCCTTGTCGTACTCCACTGGAGACGACAAATGGTGGCGACAGCTGGCCGTAATCTCTGATGCGACCTGGGGTATGACGACACAACTCTTTAAGAACTGACACGTACTTCCCAGGCACACTATTCCTCAATAAGCACTGCTACAGTGCAGACCTGTCGACGGAGTCGAAGACCACGCGAATGTCTAGAAACACAACGATCGTTGGCCTTTGGAAGGCATAACGATGCTCTAACACCTTTTCGAGGGTAAAGATTTGATCGACGCATCCACGACCGGTCCGAAACACAGCCTGTTCCTCACGAGTTTGTTCATCAAGCGTGTTGTATAACCTGCTAAGAATGACAGACACTAGCAGATTAGACGCTATCGGGATTAGGCTTATACCCCTACGGTTGGCGCAGTCACTGCGCGAGACCTTCTTGAAGATAAGGACAACCATTGATTCCCTTCACAAGGAGGAAACTTTCTCGGAGTGCCAGACCTTGAGAACAAAGATTGAAGTTATCTGACAAGCTCTATCCCACCATTCCTAAATAGGACTTGCGAAAGTCCACCGGAGCCCGGCCCTTTATGACATCCTAGGGTTTGGATTTCCCTGCGGACCTACGCCTCAGAAGATGAATCTGTCGAAACAGACCACGGGACGTGTGTCGGAACAGCTATGGGAGAGGGCGACGCTGGAGGCCAGCTAAACTGTGATTCAAAGTGCTTCGCCCAGCGCACAAGACATCGCTGAAGACTGTGGATAGGCGAACCGTCAGCTTCACAGATTGTTTCGCTCACCCCAAATAGTTTCCTACGGGCAACTCAAATGAAATGAAACAGCTTGCAGGAATTTCCCACAGCGGCAGCACGTTTCATCTCAGATGCTTTTTGAGACCACCAGATTTCGCGATCCCTGTGCAGACTTGCATTGAGGCAACGTCTCGCTGTGAGCCGTGTTGCATTATGCTCACTACCAGCCGGGACGGGCTGGTGTGCATCGAGAAGGCGCTAAGACTCGGCAGAAATCCAGGGTGTAACGACACGACGAGTCAGGCCATAAATCACTTTGGCAGCAGAATGCAAAACATTCTTAATAAGCGACCAGTGCTAACTGATGTTGTTTGGTGGCACTGATCTTAGCTTTTCAGCTAGAGCGTTTCGAAAAGTTCAGAGGCCAGACGGATCAGAGAGCATATTGCAGTCTAACCGCTGCTGCATCGTACGTTTAGCACACCCACCGAAGCACATGGACAACTTAGTGAAGACTAATGCGGGGTCGGAGTCGACAGGGGAGTGCTTCAGTACGGCCGGCAGTCTGGTACGCAGCTAATTGGGGAGGGAAGGGCCCAGCGTCAAGGCCCTCAAGATCTCCAGATTTAACTCCGTTAGATTTTTCCTTATGGGGCTGTCAAGAAAAGTCTGCGACCCCAAGCCAAAAACTCTGGATGGATTGAAGACCCGAATTTAATCCGTTTGCAAAAAGACTAAACTGCGATACTGGCGAGTGTTCACGGGAGCAAGGTTCGGCGTCTACAGATTCGCATGGCACAGGACGGTGGTGTGCCTTAACATTCATTACAACGGGACCCACAGCGCAAACTTTCACTGGAGAACGATATACCAGTTCTCAGAACTAGAGAACAATTACTCGGTCTTTTTAAAAACGAAAACAACTTGATTGTTCATTTCACAATCAATTTCGTCTTATTGCTATTCAGGTTTACTACCGTTGAGGTTTGTTAGTTTTCACTCGGGATAGTTGTGGTGTATATTTGTGGCTGCATGAATGCGCGTGGGCATGTGTGAGCTGACTGTAACACACAAACAGTGATGAGATAATCTTGTGTATATCCAAGTGAACCCAGTTCCTGGAAGAGTTTCGAGCACCGGAAGGTGTGTGTATATGGCCAAGAAACCAATTGTGCTTGAACATGAATGTGTGCGGCGGCCTAAAGTTGACTGATGCGACTGCTTCGCTTACGTTGACGGGGTCGTTGGGGCGCACAATGGAGTGCGTTCATTCAGTTTTGTCTATGCCCACCACCATGTTAAGCGGTGACTGCGTGATCAAATACGGTGGTGATAACCTTGATCTATCGTAATTTATGTTGTCACATGATAAGGAAACAATTATCACCATATCTTTCGAAAAGTGGGTTAGATGTATCACAATAGAGGTTCCATGAGTGTCTGTGTGGGCACGGTGCAGGATGGGGATTTAGCAATGGTCATCTAATGTAACAGAAAACACGATGTAGATCTGGATCATTCTCTCCTACTAGCGAGACTGAGGATATATTTATCATCTACTTATGAAGCACACATGGACCCAAAACACCAACTTCTCAGCCTAGAGTATGCCCCTGACGACAGATATCTCACAGCCGTTGTTTCACGATCCTCTTTCATTTATTACCAATCCCATAGTTGCGTTAGTCTCTTTACTAGCACCACAAAGGCCACCTGTGACCCCTGCTGCACCGCAGAAACTATTTTGTGTCCAATGGCAGATTAGACTCACCCCACCAAAAGTCCATATTTAAGATGAAGGAGTGTACCAAAAATTATATGATGATACTGGCGTAAACCACCAGTTAGATTTTTTGGATGTTGTGAATCACGTATATTTCGTCACGTTCCTTTTAGGCATGATGAGAAATCCCCTGCAGCGAACCCCGTGTAAGGTTAATACAATGTGCAAATGATTCGAACAGGTAAGTTTTAGACGGTGAATTACAAATAAATGATGAGAGAAAACAGATCGTCTAATAAGTTATTCATTAAAGCCTAAAAATAGACTTCAAAAATAGCATATGTGGGGTAGAGACAGTGATAGGATGATACGCTGAAGAACTTCTGTCGTTGAAAGCAGTTAAGACGTTGTGACCCTGACCACGTGTTAATTATTCGCGATTGGTTAAAGAATCAGATAAATGACCCCCGGTGGACGATGGGCTACCGTCTATATCTAACATATTTGGAATTTTTTCTTGTTACGCATTCAAATGCACCAGTACAGTCCCGACTACAAATACCAGCGGCTTTACATATCCTATAAAATGAAAAACAAAGTACTGCACGGCATATATTTGTATTAAATGGGACACTCAAGTGACGAAAGTCAAGCTGAATGGACCACTTTTTCTCATCTCCGAGGACGTTCGATGCAATAGAAGTCTTTGAACACACAAGTCCAGAGTATTCGATTGCATGGTATATCTTCCAGGCAATGAACCTGCCTTCGCATCCTGGATGGCGCTCTAGCATTATCCAGGGTATTTTTACGGAACAAAAGCTGGTCGTATAAACATGTTAACGCTGAGGATGAAATGAGAGCAAAACCAGTTTGCACCCCTGGCGAAGACCCATCTGGGCCACTGACCTTAGCACACTTCATCTTCATTAGTACCCCATATACTTAGAAGGAATATATCACCTATAAACTGGTAGGTTTAAGTTTAGTGTGGAGCCTAGAGCCATTATTCGACATTAAATACCGATCAAGCCCACCAATTTGCTTCTTTATCCAATTTTCGAGTACACCTTTCTAACTGACTTTATTATTTACTTTGCGGTATGCGCTTCATTTTGCCTCCTAATAAGGTATTGAGCAGTAAGCTGAGAAATTCGACCGCCCTAGGATGTATACACATTTTTTGTCCACACTACAAGAATGAGAGACAATGTCATCATTACCAATTCCAATAAAAGTCACACATGGTTTCGAAAGGGTACACCAATGGATAAACAACAAACAGAGTATAACCGATACAGTATTTCATGAGTAGAATGTTTTGAGGTTGCAGAAATTAAAATGAACTTACGCCAACTGACAGAGAGAGAAAAGTGCTTCCCCGCGAAAACCAAAGGTTGTCACGCTGGCCAAATCTTCAAATGAGCGCAGTTTTGAAGTGCAGTGCTTTTTAGCTATATACTAGCTGGGTAAAAAACAATAACTCACTTATCCTTTCAAATTGAGCTTCTTCGATCCCAAGACCATTATCCACCACCTCAATAGATTCGCAACCATAATCCTTGAGACGGATATCTAAAGATGAGGAGAGATAAAACAACTCAGACAGAACAAAAAACTACCTATTTTTGTTGCTTCCGCATCGATGCTATTTTCCAGCAATTCTTTGATAGCAGAAGCCAGTGTTACCACGACCTGACCTGCACATATTTTATTCACGATTGCCTTATCAAGAGGAGAGATTGATCTTTCAGACATGGATGTCTAAAAGCAGTGATCTGCAATAAGAAAAACAAAATGATAAAACCACATAAACAAATTAGGGTACGTTTTTCTCAGCATGTACCACGGAAAGTCATTTCGAATGTTCCGTAAGGCATGCAAAACGGGGGCTAACCAAGGATGCCAGTCAAGCCGACACACAGTTAGTTGCTATTAACTGAACGGTTGCGCACTCCCGAAAAAACATACAAATGGTCATCTGGACAGCTCCGTGTCGGGTTACCGGAGTATGTGATCAAACCACCGCAGGCGGCGGCGCTGAAGAAGGACAGAGAGTTGGTCAATGTCACAGCATCACCTCCTTCCTTCCTGCCAGTTTGTACAAAAAATTCGGCAAAAATACCAGGGGTCGGACAACTCCAGCTTCCTGGCACCTTCAGCTCGTGGTGGCCAGATTTCATACCCCTATGTGCGCACGGATCGGATAGCGGCACAGAAAACGAGGGTCTTGGATCGAAGGCTGATTTCGTTGTGACCATGGCACACACTCAAGATGAAGAAACGTTCTCCGTATAATGCTAATCCTCGGTAGCACTTCATCCCTCGTCTGGCCATTCGGAAGCAGAGTTGACCCCAGATATCTGAGGGATGGCAGGCATTCAACTGCCTGACCACTGAGGGAGAACTTCTGTGCTGATTACCCAAAGCAAGTCGAGAGATCCTTCGATCTCGATAAATTGATTCTGAGACCAACGGTCGTCGAAGAGCAACTGAGTCGGTCCAGGACGCAATGGCGCAATGAGTATCACGCTGGTGTATGATGTGACAACTGCTAAATCCTTCAAAAATATACAGCTGTGGTTGCGAAACATTGATCAGGTAAATTTATGACCGTTTTGGAACTGCGTTCCACTCACGTTTTCGATTCGGCTTTCCCGATATCTCCTTAGTGCTCGTATGCTGAATGCATCGGTTTTGGCTAACAATCGCAAGTGGTACGAGCAGACTGTCACAGCTCTATGGAAAATTTTTGAGAATCGTGATCTCCGTTCCCACAGAATATCTAACGTTGACTGAATCCGCGGCATATTCAGTTTATTTATGAAATACTGCAAATAGGATAGAGTGTTATGATACTAACATCATCATCATTGTACAGCGTTAAACAGTAGGGCAAGCCCCACTGACCACTGCCTTTCTCACCATGTTGCACGTTGAATTAAAAAGTATGAATATACAAGATGGAGACGGAGTGGACCTACACGGGTAGCAAAAGGAAAGAATGCCCTAGTAGCCAACACACGGTACACACTGTCTAACTGTACAAACACACATCGATCAGTCATTCTGATTCGATAGAAAGTGACAACACGATTGCCACTGTTCGCGGTTCGCAGCCATATCCTTCAGTGTCTCCAGCCAACTGGTAGAGGGATCTTTGGACTCCAACCACGAAGACGTGAAGCACCTACTTTTCCTAAGTCTGCTGTACATTTTCTCATTCCTCGCTGCCACTTCATCTGTTGACCTCCACGTGGTCTCTTCCACTCCCTAGGAGGGGCGGAGAATAGGACACGGTACGGTAGACGTGTGTTTGCCATACGTAACACGTGTCCCAACCAACGAAGTCTGCTAAGTTGGATACACTGTGACAAAACGTTCTCTGAATTAGTACCCAATACTCGCTTTCTTACCTCATCGTTGCTTACTCGGCTACTCCACCCAATCCTAGCGATACTACGTAAACATCGACGGTCAAAACCTCAGGTCGACGAATATCTTCAGCACGCAGACCCCAAGTCTCGCAACCGTACAACAAAACTGAACGCACAGTGGCACAGTATACACGACCTTTCAACTTCAGTGAAATATCAGGTCGGCGCCACAAGTGCTTCAGTCCAGCGTACGCCGCTCGAGCTTTGGATATCCGCGTACTCACCTCTACTACTGTGCTCCCATCCGTCGTCGCGCAGCTACCGAGGTAGGTGAAGTGGTCGACAACAGACAGCATCTCACCATCGAGCATCAAGCTCGGAATCGCTGACGTCCAGTCTTGTAACATCACCTTGCACTTTGAAGGTGCAAAGCGCATGCCGAATGGAGCTACAGCTCTTCCGAGATTATCTAGTGCATGCTGAGCATGTTCCGTGCATTCGAACAAGCAGACAACGTCGTCTGCGTAATCTAGGTCACATAGCTTTTCACTATCTCCTAGTTCGACCCCTACATCCTGAAGATTTTGCAAAGCACTCTCCATTATTTCGTCCATGACGAAGTTAAAAAGGAATGGAGACAAAGGGCATCCCTGCCGAACACTACTGGTCGTTTCGAACCGACCGGATAGTTCGCCGTAAACCCTTACGCGGCCAGAAGTATGAGAATACAATGATCTCATTAGGTTCACGAACTTCTGGGGCATACCTTTTCGATGAAGAACACTGAAAAGCGATGTTCGATCAACTGAATCGAAGGCGCCTTTCAAGTCTAAGAAAATCATTATTGTTGGTCGGCGGTGCGCGTGACACGTTTCAAGTAGTCGGCGAAGAGTAAAAATCTGGTCGATGCATCCTCGACCTGGGCGGAATCCAGCCTACTGTTCGCGGACATTCCTCTCGCGAGCCGGTGTAAGACGATGCAGCAAAATCGAAGCTAACACTTTGGTGACTATCGGGATTAAGCTAATCCCACGATGATTACTGCAGTCATTGCGTATTCCCTTCTTGAAGATGGGAACAATCAATGACTCGCTCCATGTTAACGGAATACGCTTCTCGTTCCAAATGTCAAGAAGCAACACGGTAAGTGATTTTATCAACGCCTCACCACCCAGTTTGAAAAGAACTGGGGGAAGTTCGTCGGGACCTTCCGCTTTCCCCCGCCTTAGTAATCGAATACATGACTCTACTTCTACTTCTGATGGGGGCTCAAGTGATACCACCCAAGAAGTCACAGTTGTTGACACGGGAGTAACTACACTAGCGTGGGGCCAGCTAAACTGTTCCTTGAAGTACTCGGCCCATCGGTCAAGCCTTTGCTGTTTGCTATGGATGGGTTCTCCATTCCTATTGCAAATCGTTTCACTGACCTGAGTTCGCCGTCCACCGGTGTCACGAATAAGTTTGAACAGTCTCTGACCACTGGGTGTGGTGGCTTTAGTTGCTATCTCCCTGGGGCAATCTCAAAAGGAAATAAGGAAGGAGAAAAGAGTATGAAAAAAATAAGAGGAATACTACATTAATGGAATTGAGTCCATAAAGAAAGTTTGCGGATGCAAGAGCGCCACTGATCGCGGCATCTACCCATATCTCCCAACGTATCCAACCATCGAGTGGCAGGGTCTATTGGACCCAATCCACGAAGTCCAAAACGTCCCATATGGCCAACTCCACCAGTTCGGCTTTTCAGACCTCTTCAATATTATGCACTGACCATCTTAATCATCTTCCAACCGGTATCCGCATCAGCAAACATAGCACGCCAAAGATTCCTGTCAGGGGACATGCATAACTCATCCCAACCATCTCAGCTTGATGAGCTCAGGTGTTTCACCTAATGATTTGATCTCTTAACCTAAGACTTTCCGCCGAACCTCGGTATTGCTCACACGGTGTTCCCACCAGATTCGAGCAGTACTACGAAGACTTCGGGGTTCAAATACCGACAATCTTCGTACGTCCTCCACCCGCAGTGGTCATGCTTCGAACCACACAGAAGCATGGGCATGACTGCTGCTGCGTACACTCGGCCATGGTCAGGGAAACGGATGTCATGTCAACGCCACAGATGACTCAGAATGGCAAATGCCAAACGAGCCTTCAGTATATGCAGAGATACCTCATCCGAGGTACGACCTCTGGGTGAAATGCAGTTCCCTAGATAACAGAACTTGCCCCCCGCATTTACAGTCTCCTCAGACATTGAAAGGTTTGGCGTTGGACCAACCCAGTCCTGCAACAGCATCTTGCACTTTGGGGTTGCTAAACACATACCGAACATTGCTACGCAATCCCTCAAGCCGTCTAGAAAAGTCTGCAACTTACCTGGATCTTCACCTAGAAGAACTGTGTCGCCAGCACACTCAAGGTCTGATACACTCGGGAAACGTTCAATGCCACTATCCTCACCTGACAAAAGTGCGGTCTCTAGGGCCACATCAATCACAAAGTTTCATAGAAAAGGAGAGAGGGAGAAACCCTGATGTACACCACTTCTCGTGGTGAAATTAAGGGAAAGTTCACCGCAAGCCCGATTTCGCCTTCGGCTATTACTGTAAACGGATTTTATGATGGATATGAATTTCTCTGGTAAACCCTTCAACAGGCAGCCCCACGGAACTGTGCGGTCGACTGAGTCGACGCCGCTTCAAAATCAAGAAAAACGGAGATAATGGGCCTATGGAAGGTGTACCTACATCCTAAAATCAGTCCAGGAGTGAAGCTGTGATCAATTCAACCTCCACCAGGTCTAAACCCAGCTTGATTCTGGCGCGAGCACTGTTCGAGAGTGGTAGATAGGCGGTCGAGAATAATACCAGCAAGTAATTTGGATGCAATGCTAACCAGACCTGTTCCCCTGTGCTTTCCGTAGGAGGACCTGTCGTTTTCCTCATAGATCGGTACGATCACCGGTTCACACCAACTACTTGGAACTTGTTCCTGTTCCCATATCGAACCGAGGAGTTTCGTCAACTCCAGTTAAAGTGCTGGATCACCGTCTTCAAAAATAGACGGAGGCAACCCATCCAGTCCGGGTCCGGCAGCCTTATGTCGTTCAATATAGCTTATCTCACGAAGAATCTTCGTTTCTGACGGAGGACTGGTATCTACAACAAGAGCTGTATCCATTGCGCTAGTGAGCAAACCTGACGAGGATTAAGGCCAATTAAACTGCACCCCGAAATGCTCCTCCCAGCGAATTAGACGACGCTTCTGAGTCTGAATCAGTGAGCCGTTCGCTTCTTTGATCAATTCGCCGACGCCTGGCGTACGGGGACCGGTTTGTCTAATCAGACGGAAAAGGTTGCGGCTGTTGCCAGT